TTTTTTTTTTTTTTTTTTTTTTTTTTTTTTGTCTTCATTTGGTGCAAATAAATCAGAAATCCTCTGATACTGACCAACTAATAAACTAACTAAATAAACAAATAAATAATCTTAAGGAAAACAACAACAACAATAATAATAGCAAACTTTTCCTTATGTAATCTTAGTTTAGTTGCATTCATAATCAATCGTCTGTCCATGCATATGCATTCAATTGCTGTTGCATTACATAGGTTACGTACGTGTTTTTCGCTTAACGTTTGCGCGTAAAGTTATTAAATAAATGAAAACCGTTAACCGTTAACCGTTTACCTAAAAAAGAAATTGATTTTAATGCTTATTAGGAGTGTACAATAAAATTATTATTATAATTTAATTTTGTTGCCCTATCATTTTTTTGTTTTTGCTATTGTTGTTTTTCTTGTGTGTGTGCTGTGCAATTTTAATAATAAAAATTTAATACAGGTTCGTTTGACTTGTCTTCGTGTTTATGGAGACTGTTGCTTTCTTCATTTATTTTCTTTCGTAGAAATATTTATGAAATTTTTTTTGCTTTTTGTTTTTTTGTCTTTTTGAAAGCCGGTTGTCGTTAACTGTTATCTTATTGAAGACAATTTAATGACTTTTGACCCACTTATCAAGTGTAAAGCGGCTGCAGCAGCAGGTTTTCTTATGTAAATTTTTTAGCAAACATTTCTCAGTTTGCTAGCGGAAGTATAATGATTACGTCGTTACGATTATGAAACGTCGTAAAATGTTCAGTATGAAGCGATCTCCTTGGATTATGTATTCATAAGAAGGCTTGCGATATCCATGTCTGACTAATCATTCATCTTCGAGTATATGACTGTTCAAATGTGAGCTGTTTATTAGCAAAACGGACTAAGTTAATCTTTCAAACATATTAAATAAGCTTTTTACACCCTATACCCCTTGTGACGTAAGGCTTTATTAAGTTTGTGCGAATGTATATAATATCTCGAAGGACCCATCTTTTATTATCCCGATCGGTTCAGAATCACTTTTTGAATCTCTCGAAGCTTGTCTGTCCTTCTGTCCGTTTATTTGCTTTGCTTTCTTGTGTTCAAGCTGAAATATTTCGTCAAAGTCGAAAGCTGTTGAGAATAGTTCGGAATGGACCACTTTTACGGTCATTCCTTATGAAAAACTTTATCTTAAAAAGTCATTACGTGAATGCCTGTGGAATGTAGAATGTCCTTAATCATGATCACTGCCCCACTGTAGTGTTTCCATTTGGTTTTAATGTTACTTTTAGGATTTTTATTTCGTTAGTCACTAGTGTATGAAACGCTTATTGTAATTAGAGCTTAGAGGTTTATTATATTTCGCAAGAGCTCAGTAAAAAAGTTTTTAATTAGACAGTCTGAGAAATATAGTTATGTGAAAGTATGCAGGAATGTATGCAAAATAAAATAAATAAAAGAAATTTTAGTTAAAAATACTTTTTTTTTTAGGCAACACAAGCTATATAAATTTGTCTCTGCAGCGGGAACCCTCCAAAAGAATATGCTCGTCTGTGTTCTTGAAGAGCATGAATACCGTAATAAATTTATTCATGTCAGTCTATTTATCTATGGTTGCCGAGCCCTGAGTTTATTTGTCCGTAGGTCCATCTATTTTCGAGGTCTTCCGATGACATGTGGTACGCCAACATGTTTTGGCCTAAAGACGAACGTTATTGAAAATGGTTCAGATGGGGCCACTCTTTCGACCATTCCCTATATAACGCCCTATGCTGGAAAGTCTTCGAAAATTTGCAAATTTTCAAACTTTCTCGGCAAAAGTAGTTATGTAGTAGTAATTCGGCATTCCAAATTGGTTGGAAAACTTTGGATCGGCTGAGGCAGTTTTTCGAACTTGTTTTCATATAACCGTTCCTACGTGAATGGAAGCGTTATATGGTAAATAGGTCGAATTAACTTCCAATATGAGGTCTTATTTTGAAAAGTCATTGTATGAATAGCTGCTTTA